CGGGGGTGGCGTCTGCTTCAAGGTCAGGAATGAGAGAGGCTGCGTGCGGGGATGGGGTTTAGTGGGAGGGGGGCGGGGAGTGGTTGTTCTGGGAGAGAGAGGCACCGGGCAGGAATGCGGGGGAGGCCAGAAGAGGAAGAGGAGGTGCAAGCATAGTGAAAGAAGAGATAGGGGATGGAGGACAATAGGGGCTCAGTGGAATTGCTCGCTGAAGGACTGTACAAGCACCTTTCACGCGGCCCGTGAGTTTCCCCTAACCCCCTTTTTATTTTCCCCCTTCCCTCTTCAGCGCCTCGACGAACCTTTTATCCCCCTTTTTTTCCCAGAACGTACTAATCAACCGCTGATCGGTGAAAATCACTCCACACAGGTGGAAGGGGTGCAGAACAAGAACGAGCCATTCCCTTGACCGGGTGGGTTGCCTGTCGGCACTGGTCTCGGCGCGCTCCGTTTCGTTCCGTTTCGCTCCGAAGCAAACACGCCCACTTAACTTTTCATTAGTGCAAGACGTCATTTGTGGGAAACAATCGAAAATTGTGGTTTTTGTTTTACACTTTAAAAACTTTAGCCCTCGTATTATAAAGTGATTGATTTTCGGTCTTCTTTATGAGGCTCGTTCGCTAATAATAGCCCAGCAAAATGGCCCTTACTTATCACATAGTGCGTGGGAAGAAGGGCGGCTGTGGAGGGAGAGTATGATTGGGGGAGGTTGTCGGCTTCGTGTGGGGAGAGCGAGGAAAGAGCGAGGGCGGTTGGGTTGGGTGGTGTCGGAAGTGAACAGGCCCGCCCACGTCGAGGAAGCAAAGATAGGGAGGAGGAGGCGGGCGCGTGGCGCGCGCCACCTGCCTTCATGTCACCTGCAAACGGAGCGTCTTCCCGGCAGGCCACCGCATCATAGGGGGGTGCAAGGAGGTGGGGCGCGGCACTGGCCCTGTGGGATCGAATATGATAAACATGGCGAGAGAGAAACAGAGAGAACGTCCTAAAACCAAAAAGGCAAAGCGGCGGCCGCGCGACCGTGTTTCAGATCATTACACACACGCCAGGCCATCACCATCGATCGGCTTTGTCGCGCGCATCTCTTTTTGCTCTCGTTGCACTATTGTGCAGGCGGCCGGGTGGCACTTGGCTGCGGACGCCCTTTCTTGTCGGTGACGGCGCACATGGCCGCGCGCCAGGCCGCGGCCCCGGTAGCGCCCGCCGGGCTGCCGTGCTGGTGGCGCGGAGAGGGCGAGGGAAGCACCCCTCAAGGGCGTCAGCCGCCAGCATCAATGGAGAGGTGAGTGTTGGAGTCGCCACCACCACCAGGCCTCGCCGTGGTCAATAATGTCATGGGGGGACAGGTGGACTGTCGACTGGATAAGTGGACAAATCGATTCCACCCTGAGTGTTGGAGTATGTTGGCGCGTGTGCGGGGCTTATTGTCACAGAGGCTCGTTGTTCGGTGGAACCGCGGCACGACATCGACCTTGCGGTGGCATCTATAGCGACCCCGCCTCTAAACGGACGCCGGCTGGAATGGGGCACATATCGGGGGAACTTTACGTCATTTTTCGGAAAGTCGGAACCACTCGCCGCGGATCGACACCTGCTCGCCGTGGTTCGGGCCGGCGGGAATGTTCGGTGACCGTCCCGAGCGGCCACCGCGGCGGCTACTCGCGGTGATCTATTATTAGTGGATGACCCGGAGCACCCTGGGGAGGGGAAGGGGTGCCCGGTCGGTGGTGTCGTACAAGTGCCATGCAGAGTCGAACAAGGTTCTTTGAAACTCTGATAATCTGACGTACGTGATGTAACATCTCTCTGACTTTTGTTTTGTGCAGAGCGCGAATCACTCCTATAGGAGGCATATATGCCTGCAGAAGTGACTGTGCATAACGATGGCCGGTGTTCCGAGAACGCTGCGGGCAGCATGCGGACACGTGTGCTTGCACTCACAGTGTCAGGTCAGGTCGGCGGCCGCGGCGGCGGCGGGGGGCGGAGGCTGACGGCGACCCGAGGGTGGCGGCGTGTGGCCGCATGCCGGGGCTGCGCGGGCTGCGCGGGCTGCGCGGGCTGCGCGGGGCGAGTCGGGCGCGGACGGCAGGTAAGCCCTGGAGCTCAGCATGGCGGCGGCCGCATGCCAGCAGCAGTGTCCGGGTCCGCGCCGACGGTCGAGCCGACGGTCCAGCAGCAGAATGCCCGACGACACGTGTCCGACGACGGAACGGCGCAGGGGACGCCGCCGCATCAGGGGCTCTGGGCGGACTGGCAGGCTGGCTGGCGGCGCGGGCGGGGCGCGGGCGGGGCGTGGCGGGGCCGGGCTAGAGGCGCCAGCAGCGCCCCCTCTGGATGCACGGCCGAAGCGCCTAGCGGGCTAGGCGGGCTAGGCGGGGGTGGCGGCATGGTCAGAGGGGTTGCTGGTCGGCTTTTCTGACAGGGGAGAGGGGCGTGGGGCTCTATGACGCCAGCAAGGGAGGTTGCCTCGTCCTCCCCGGGGGTAGTCCGCTCCCGCCCGCCAGCCCCCCATCGGTGCTTTAGACAGGGGCCTGACTGCGACACCCTGGGCGGCGGGGGCCAGCCGACGGACTGTACCACCACTCTCTGCAGCGCGGTGCTGCGCTGCGCATGCGCTCGAGGGAGGGCCTCGGGGGAGGCGGGGGCGTACGAGGG